TGAGGCTTAGCACACTGAAAGGTTAAAACCTCTTCATTTCTTCTTTGCACACAAATTTTTGTGAATAGGGATAAAAACCAGCTGGAAAGGATTCTGAATTCTCTCATTTTGGCTGGATAGCTTTGACAACAAGCTTGATGCACACACTTTCAGTTTGTAACAAATGGTTTGCTGTCTTCACTGTTGTATCATAAGTGCCTTGAATCTTTAGGAGCTGAGAACTTCCTTCAGTTATGAAAGCCATTTAACTTCATCAGTGTGAGAAAATACAGCTCAGTCTCCCTCCATTATGTAGAAGAGAGCTGAACCCTTCACTGTTACAATCCCTGCTCATGGGGGACAAAGTAACAATTTCTGTGACAGGATAGCGTTTCTAGTTTTCTTGTGTATTTTTTGAGACTTTTAAGAAGTAGCTTTAAAAAGTAACTCTCCTCTCTAAGGAGAACTAGGCTCCTCATGAAAGCTCACTGCAACTGTTTTTAAACCTGGATCATTCGACACCATCAAGTTCCCAGTTGGCAGGTGTGAGGTAAAAATAATTATTTCACTTTCTTTTACATGTAATCATTTGTGTGTGGTTATAAATATGTTTACAATTTAAGGGAGAATATTAATATTGAGTCATTTTTGAGCAAAATCTGGATTTTTATCCAGTCTCTGAATTTTAGTTCATTGTTGCACAGATCAACTTTTTCTTAGTTTCACAAGGTAAATATTTTTAAATCAATAATTTTTCCTATCTTAGACTTTGTGAACTGTTAAAGAAACAGTAGAAATTCATAGCTTTTGGGTTTAATAGTTTCTACATAGCCTCAACACCTTATACCTGTAATTAATAATGATTTTTTCATTCTTCCCGCATCTGTCAGATGAGGCTTCCAAAGTGCCATGGACTTCAATGCCCAGCTTGTGTAAACCAAAGAGCAAAATTTAATATACATGTTTTTGAATGTTAACCAATTCAGGGATCAGTGTGCCAGGCCCTTTGCCCATAACTCACAGGCCCATGGAGAAGTTGGTGGGAAGCAAGGTAGGATGTGAACTCAATGTATCAACAGCTCTGTGGTTAAGGACCATTGTGGACTCTCTTACCTTAAAGTAAATGTGAAGGAGCTTTTTTCTTTCCCTGTTAGTGTGTAAGCTGCATTTATAAGATGATAAGGGCAGGCACCTAAGTACTTACAGTGCATCTGTGCTGGTTTACTTTGTGCTAACTTGCTTATTTGTATTTAACCAGATTGTTCTATTTATACAACTCTGTGCTGCTTTTCATGGTGAAGCTATACTAATTCATGCCACTCAGAGTAAGGCTATCATTTTTACTGGAAAAAGAAGTGGAATTTGAATTCCACTCCTCAAGAATTTTGAGGAGTCTCAGCACCTTATTTCACATGAGCTGCTCATGCTAAATGGTCCTGAAGATTAGTCCAAGAATTCAGTTATGCTAAAATGTTGATGAAAGCGGAGTGTGGTTTTTAAAAAGTATTCTTAGTGGTGTTATCTAAAAGATGTATGACATGAACCACTACTGAGAGACTACAGAAACCCCAAACCAGACAATTTTGTTTGCTTTTATGAGTGAGATAAGTTAATGATGAAGCAGATTAAATCCAAAAGATTGACCTGCTGCTTTAAAATTGCCTTTTTTTGAAACTGACAAACCAAGTTATCACTTGGTTTATAAGTTAGTTTTAAGGATTTTTTTTAATTTATCTTACAATAAAATTATTTTCTATATTTCTGGTATATGTATCCTTCAGACACTTTAAAAGTACAGGTAAGCTGGACAATTATATATTTTATGGGTTCAGATTCCTTACAGTGCACTTTTTTCTTCTGTATCAGTCTTGTTGAACAATGTGCCCAAAGTAATTTTCATGCAATTTAGAATGGAGTCAAATGGCATATCCTATTCATCACTGGATTGCAGTATTCTCTTTGTTTCCACCATTATATATGAACTGAATTCTTGGTAATGCTTGGTACTTGTGTTTATAAATCATCCATCTGAAACATTTCTGTGTTTAACCAAAGTCCAGTAACCCATCACACCCAGATTCTTTCCTAACCCTAATTTTATCAAGACTTTATATTCTTCTGTTGGCCTATCTAGAGTTGTCCTTTTAATGGTCTTGGCTCTATCAAACCATGGAGCTGTGAGCTTAATGAAGATTTTGAAATCTCACACTTACTTGGGCTCCCATTCTATTTCCCAGTGCTCTTCCTGTAGTCAGAAGTGGAGCCTCAGGGATGTGGGGGATCCGAGTACACAGGAATGGGTGATGGAGAAACCAGCTGTTTATTTAATCAAAACTTCAAGAATTGACAGTTAACGTTGTTAATGTTGAAGTATTCTCTGTCTCCTTCAGCAAAATAAATTGTTCTGCTAAAAAATTATTATTTTGCTGATGAAACAGCAACTGAAAAGTATTTGCAGCTTTTGCTTTGGCTAAAAGAGCAGCAAGATTCCCATATTTAATCTGATCAGTTCATAAATGTGAGAGTGAGCTGAACACACAACTTTCTTATTTACAGTAGTGCAGGGAGGAGAGATCACTTTTAAGCAGTGTTTTTTTCTACAGGTGTTACAAGAGAAAAGCACAATGTGCTTTACAGTGACTATGTTTTTGAGTAACTGCAGTGTTGAAAACTTGCAGAAGACCGATTCTAAATATTTTCTAACAGTGTGGGTAATGAAGATTTATCTTGACTTCAGAAACACAAGGCCCTTAGGAGTACTTTCAAAATGTGTATGTAATAGAATTCAGACATATACTCTGCTACCTTTTAGAGTGAGCTCTAGTGATGGAGTAAAAGGATACTTTTGGAAGCACCTTGGGTCCAAGTTCCACTTTAAGTGCTGACTTTACATTACATTCACTTTCTAAGCTGCAAGAAAAATATTACAAAGTAGGAAGCATTTTTTTTAAAGTCAGAATTCAGCAGAAATTTGTTGGTAAGATATGGCATCTGTCACTGAGCAGATGTGTTGCAATGTTCAACTTCATTCATGCAGATTATCCAGGTGCTGCCAAATATTAATGTCTTTAGGCTGGCAGTGTACATGCACCTTTCTCTTTGTAAGTGATATCTTTTTGTTTTGGTCTTAAATCAAGAGTTAGAATTTGCAGGAGGATGGAAAACCATTCCCATTGTTTTTCTAGAGACAAATAGTCATTTTGACTTTGTTCTTTATCTGAGTCATATTAGAAAATGTAACTCTGGTTACCAAATTGTTTCCATCTGCAGTGTTTTCTTGGGCACTTTCCTTGTACCACGTGAGCAGTATTAAAAGGTTTGTTCACTCTTTTATGCTAGTTACAAAAATTAAGAAATTCCTCCAAAATCTGTTCTGTAAATGGCTTTTGAAGATAAATGGTTTCATTACATTTGATACTTAACACCCTAGTGAAGAAACTTTTAAACTTCAGAAAGACTTCATTTGTGTAATGCCATGAAAGTCTGCCCATCTGATATTCCATATATTATCAGAAACCTGAGAATTAAATACAATAAATTTGTGTTTTCAATTACCCTGTAGTAAAGCTACTGTAGTTATGGCTTCCACCTACATGAAAACCAGTGTTGGGTAAGACAATGGGCTTGAGTCCTTTTAATATGATGTTGCTCGTTTCAGCATGTAGTTCTTCCAAGTATTTTTTTCTTGTTTTTCAGAAGCTAAACCTAAATTTAGGTTTAAGAGACAGGTTTTTAGATAAGTTTGTAAGAATTAATTCATAAATACTCTTGATAAAGAGATGTGCATTGTCCCGTTTAACTGGGGAAGTTTTCCTAAAGTCCTTTTTGGCTGTCAGACTCTTGTAACAGAGTACTGATATCACACTAAAAGTTGTCTGGAGTCTATGTCTGTTGCAGGTGAATTAAGGAACATGTCCTGACTATGCTGGAAACCATGAGACAAGATGAGAAATTATGTTTTGCTTGAGTTATTAGTTTTAATTTATTTCCTAATTTAAGAACAGTATACTGAACAAATTGTGAACTCAAGAGTGTCTTTCTTAACATGTATCTGGGAGGAACTCTTTAAGGAAACTTTTATATCAAATCCCTTTAGATATACTTAAAAAAACCAAACAAAAAACATAACAGAAAACTTATATGCAGCCTCCCTCTGTATGGGGCAGACCTGTGATTCAGATGAACCTCCTTACACCAGTAAATGTAGGATGTCTGAACCTGTTTGGCTTAGTAAAGTACTGGCATATCCTAATCTGCCAGTGTCAAGACTTGAAATTGTGCTTTTTTTCCCCCAGTGCAGATTTCTGTCAATGTCAAGCCTTCACAGCTGTCTGTGTTCATCAGTCAGGATCCATGGGCATCAATAAAACAGGGACAATCCTTTGCATTGCTCTAGTTGGTACTTCCAGGTTATAAACTTGCACTAGTTCACAGGGATGCTTATCAGGGTAGAACATGAGAATTATTGGAAGATATTGTATTATCACATTATGAGTTGAAAGGAAGCTATGCTTTGAAGTCTTCTGTCTCTTATGTTTTGTAATGAAATCTTGGTTTAGGCCACGTGTTAGAATTGAAAGGTTTTTTTATGATTTTTAATGCAAATGTTTCTCTAAATCTTAAAATGGCCTAAATGTTTCTGAAGAAAAATACTAGAATTCAGAAATATATTTTGTAGGTCTGATTTAAGGTGTAACACTGAAATTGATAACAAAACAATAGAAAGCCTGTAATGTTTACATCTGAAATCTCAGCAGCACCAGAGGAATTTCTTTTTAAACTTACAAGGAAGTTTTTGTAACTGTTATTGGTGATCAGAAGCAAACTGCAAACTATAAATACATTACACTGAGTATGTTACTCTCTTTTGGCTACTAAATTTCCAAAAGAGACAATTGTATTTTGTACAGATAGACTAAAAGGAAAAAAAGTTGGGTGTAAGTGGAATTCAAACCTGAAGAACAAAGCATGGGAAGTTTTTGTTACTGGTATTAGAAAGAAAGTGACTAGAAGGAAATCACTGCAGTCCTGAAATTTATTAAAATCTCCACAGGTACACTTTGGAGAAACAAAATTGCAATATAGTATGAGCAGTACTGGCTACTAATATGGATTCCTTCAGTAGTCTGGTGGCCAAGCCTAGTAACTTCTAAACAGCTATTTTCACTAAAATAAACTGACTTGGGGATAAACTTTGTTCTTTGCAGTAAGGTATTGCAAACTCCTGGTATCTTTCTAGATTTCTGTCAATAGCAGCTGATTAACATGTTGACATTCTCTGTATTATTATTGTCCCTTTATTGCAGTTAATGTCCACAAGATATAAATGACAAAATAGAAGGTATATATACACTTCTGCCATTTTCATGCAATGTCTAATGGGTTTGTTAAACAAACAAGAGGAAGGGTTAAAACTAAATTGGGAGACTATATGCTGAAGCAGCAGCTGCACACCTACATGTTTTGTTCTGCAGGTGTGCTTTGAGGGCAATAACCTTTGGCAGAAAGGTGAAGAAGGTAGTTGAAAATAATAATGTCTTCAGCTGGTGCTGTTAAATTTTCTAAAGGTATTTGCCAAGACTGAAGAGATAAAAGCACACAAGGATGTTGTGCAAAACCAAACTGTTTTACTAAAATTTACATAATATTTTTAAAAAATATAAATTTGTGTAGCTATTCTCAATTAATTGAAATGAGTTGTTTATTTTGTGTTAGAAAATGTGTATAAAAATCTGTGGTTTAGTATCCAAAATAAGAATCACAGACTCACAGGGCAGGTTGGAGAGGAGCTCAGTGGGGTCACCGGGTCCAACCTCCCTGCTCAAGCAGAATTACCCAGAGCACAGGGCACAGGGTTGTGTCCAGACAGTTCTGGAATGTCCCCAGTGAGGGACACTCCACAGCTCTGGCCAAGCTGTTCAGGGCTCCTTGCTCATGTCCAGGGGCAACTTCCTGGGCATCATTCCTGCCCCTTCCTCTTGTCCCATTGCTGGCAGCAGGAGCAGAGGGTCCATCCTCTGACACCTCCTGCAGATATTTAGAGAAATAGCCAAAATATTGTTGCTTGCCTTTTTTTTTTAGTAAAAGTAATACTTAACATTTAGTAAGAGTAATTTTTTTTAACAAATCACACTTAACAGATACATATATATGTATATATGTGTGTTTAAAAATTCACATGCAATATAGCTTATCTGAGAATCAGTGGAGATAGATCCAATTTTGGAGCTTATAAAAGCTCTACATTCCTTTTGTGTGGATTTCTCTTTGGCATTTCATATAATCATTAGTGAATCTTCTGTTGTCAGAAGTATTTTTTGTATTTTACATTTAGAGTAATGTATTGCAGACCTGGTGAATGTATATCTAGTTACATATGTTTTTTTTTCTTCCTTTCAGTGTAGGATTTTTCAAACTTTTAAGTATTCCAAAATTGTCTCCATATTGGAAGCTGTTCAAGCAATGGACACTGTTCTAAAGAGTAAGAAACATCTTTTTTTCTCTTTATCTTGAGGATTTAAGAACAGGCCAGCTGCAGAAGGATATACAGCTGTTTTAGCCAAGAACTTAAAATTGAATTTATCTTATATGGTAGTTACAGGTGAGTTAGATTTCTTTATTTACTGTTGAACTCTTACAGGTAGAATAAATTACTTGATTGCAAGTTTTCAGGTTTTTTCTTTTTTTTCAAATAATAAATTTTTGAATGCCTCTATTCAGGTAGTGTATATATTGTAAAATATTTCTGCTTTAACTTTATTTAGCCAAACAAGAACTTTTAAATAAGTAGAGACTGAGAACAAAAAAAAAAAAAAAAAAAAAAAAAAAAAAAATTAAAATGTGGCATAGGACCTAACAGTTAAATAGTTTCAAACTCCTTTCTAATTTCTGAATGTGAAGAGGACTTGTGTATGACAGAAGCTCTGTTTGTGTGATGGGATTTCCAGTACACAAAAAGGGAACATCTAGAGCAAGTTTTCTGTCTGTTTTGATACAAAATTACTATCAGTTCACATAAATGGTAAACAAAGATAAAGGTATTTTAGCAACTTTCCCCTAGGTATATGTTAGGTACATGCTTATCTCATATGAATTTTAGAAAACTACTTCTCTGCATTAAGTGTCCCTATTATTGCAGAGCAGAAACATTTTATTTAGCAACCTTGGAAAACATATTGGGAAGTTACTGAATACTAGGAAGAGGATAAATGTAGCAATTTATGTACCAAATTAGTACCAGATACTTTTTTTTCTGAAACACTGCAGGATTTGGTAGCTGCTATAACCAATTTATATCTTCCACATATGTTACAGCATTGTTTCAAAGATGCAGGGAGAGGAAATAATTGTGTTAAAATCTGCTTCTCAATGCAGTATTATATGCCATGTTATCTTTAAACAAAGTTTAGTTCTGCAAAAGCATTAAAGACTTTGGCATCACACAACTGTATTTAGGAAGAGTGGAACCATTGTATTGGAATTGGAGGATGTTTGGTGCCTTGGACACAATAATCATGTTTTTGAAATGGAAAAACACTGGTGTAAAATATCAGTTCATATACAAGCTTTCTGTCTGTCTTTCAGTGTTAGAGGGTAGTTTTGTGTACTTTGAGGCTTTTACACAGTGGCCCTAGAACTGCCCCTCCCCTTTTCCCTTAAACTTTGTAATGTTTTGAAGCCTCTTTCAGATTAAAAGAGACCCTCTTGAAATTGAGCTCCTCTACCTATTGCCAAGGCAAGGAACAGGATAAAACTGTCATGCAGGTATTCTCTCCCCAAAAGGCACTGTCAGTTCCCATTGAAGTCCACTGTCAGAGTGGAACAGCTCTGTGCTGTTAAAAGACATGTTCAGGGCTTCTCAGACTGACAGGTTTAAAACCTAACCTCAAAACTTTTCTTTTTGCTGTTGTTGGAGTACTTACATCCTGTCTTAAAGTTAGCCTACACTTTCTGGTATTGTGGCACAAACTACCCTTCATCTTAAGGGGCTTGTAGACTTGGGTTATTTTTAGTAGTCCTACAAAATGAATATGTATCTATTTACCAGACACAAAATCATAGCTACTAGTGATTGTGTATTAATTCTGCTGTTCTTGGTCTTATGGTATCTAGTGAGTTTTTGAGTTTCAGGTATTGTATTTGAATGTACACTCCTGAAGTTGGTTATTGTATGACTTGTTTGACATGCTTCATTTTCAGGTCTCTGATGATGAGGTATCCATCTGGATTTAAAACACAGCTCTGAGTTTTTCAATTCTTCATTAAAGAGATGTGTTCTATATTCATGGGTAAGAATATTTTTTATTTTGACTAGGCTCATTTTCTTAATTATCTTGATATATATTTTTAATTTAGAAGATTTCAGCAATTTAGTTTTGTCTTAAAGTTTTATCAGGAACTTTTACAGAGTATAGGGTTCATTAGGTGCCTGTGCTAGCTCTTAATTTTGACCCAAGCTAATAATTAAACTTTGAAATTCATATGTCTAAATATTAATGCTCTAATTAAATCACTAATTCCTAGTATTACAGACAGAGAAACAGTGGTATATAGGTAAAGAATTTATAAATTGGTCTGTGAGTTGGGAGTCATTTTCTGATATATATACAGTTCTATGGGTTTTAACTCCGCATCTTGCCATACATCTTTTGAATTCAGAGTTTGGAAAGAAAGTGGTTCTAACTTGGAATGCAACCAAAGCACAGGGTCTAAATTTTGTACTATCAAAACAAACAACACTTCTTCTCAATAACATTAACCTTACTTAATCCGAAGAAACTTTGTGGTTTACATACACCTGCACTTCAAAACAATAGGAAAAAAAACCTCAAAAAAGATTCTGTAGAAAATATTATTTTTTCAAAAAGCTACTGGTAGGTATTTTTAATTTTTGTAGGTCTCTGGAGAAAACAGCTAAGTTTAAGCTATGTTTACTTAATACATTGCAGAATTTGTTATTATGTTTTCTCTCCATTTATTAAGTATGGCTTACTGAAATATCATTTTGAGGCTTCATAAATTTACCTTGAGTTAAAAATTAATGTTGACCTGGATCTATTAATGAAGTATACTAAGTAACCTAAGCATTGCTGTGGGGCTTTTTAATACCATGTTGTTTTATACAGAGTTCTGTTATACACTTTCTCTTTGGGCTGGTTTTGCTCTATTCAGCTTAAGCAAAGCTGTTCTCATTAAAGAAGATCTGCTATTCACAGTGAAGGCAGACATGGTTGAGAATGGTAGAAATTTGTCTTCAGTTGCATCGGAAGATGGATTTTCTTCCCAAGTAAAAGGTCATTTGTATTGTTGGCTGCTTTGAAAGTCCATGAACAACCTTAACAAATAGCTAGCTACTTTTTTTTTTCTTATTTACATTTGTTATATTTATTTTCCAGAGCCTACTTGCATGAAAGGATGAGTGGTGGAGGAAGGGAGTTTGTGCATGTCTGGGAAGTAGAGAAAGGGAAACATTTACATGGGGTGTTTGGTGCAAGCAGGATCAGTGTAGGTATGGTAACAGACTGCTGTGATTAGTCTGACAAGCACACACAAGCCAGTGTGCCCCAGTTCTTTGCTCTTACTTGGAGCTGGAACTGTAGCCATGGACTAGAACTCAGTTCTGAGAATTTTGTTTAAGCCCATGTGTTTCAAATCTTCATAATCTTCAAATTAAAATTCAAGGTTCTTGAGTGATCTTTTGACTATTTAGCATGATGTCTGTGAACTCTATAGCAGAAAAAGAATTCTAAACAAAACCAGTATGTTGAGGGTATGATTTTACTACAGGGATGGCTCATTAATCAAAAATATTTAGAAATACATAATTAGAAATTCATAGAAATGAAAAGTAATTTTAATCTAAAATAATGCATCTGTATATATACAATTGGATGTATGGGTTTTTATTTGGGCTACCCAACCAAGTTTTATCCAAATTTTAGTGATAACAATAAAAAAAATGCATCTTTTCAATCCATATGTAGGTACAGATACAATGGCACTCCAGTACAGACAGTCCTTTCTGTTAGGGAATAAAAGAGTTTATATCTACAACATGTTCTTTTTTGGTCTTCTATATTACTGGGATTTTGAGGAAACTGTGCCCCTCTGTGCCTTTTAAATTTAACATGCACAGTGATCTTTAAATCTATGGTAAAATACCAATTATATTGGCACATCAGCAGGAAGTAACTTCAGTGTTATTTAATTAACTCACCTTTTGAACTTGGCCAAAGCTTTAGTTAAAATCTGACAACTAATGATAGTGTAATTGTCTTTTAATATTGGGAAGGGGATGTCTCATTTCTAAATATTGTGCAGAAGTGATCAGTTTTTTGAGTGTCTGGGTTTTACCATGCACCTTTATTGATGCAGTATTCCGTCTGCTAATACATGGGAAAATCACAGCAAGCCACAAAGCTGTCATGCTGTTGCATGTTACATAGAATTTAGCAAATACAGGGATTTTTTCAGTCTCTAGCAAACTTCTTGTTTGTTATGCCTGGTTGCATTGCTTCTCTAAAAAATCCCCAAAAGCAAACCCTTTGCAAGCATATAAAGTAAAACTCTTCCCTAACTATGACTGTGTCCTTTTCCCATAGGCTGGATTTCTGTTATGTCATGGTTTTATGACTTGTTTTAATTCCTTATGGTTGCTAACTTGTCCCTAGCTTCTCTCTGAGATGGCTTCTGTTATTTTTCTGAATAGCCATGGTTTCAACTTCCTTTGAGAGAAAATGGACACCAAAGTCACTGATTTCTCTTATCTTTGGCACTGTCATACATCAGTCATGTGAAGCAGTGCTGCCTTGTGTATTAAAGTTTGAAAGTGTGGGTATCATGGTAAAGTGCTTAAGCTCCAATCGCTTCATAATCTCCAATTTACAAATAAGCTTTCTTCATAATAAATTTATATTGGTCTAATAAGCTGGAAGAGGTTTCTTGTGTATCTAGCCTTCAGATTTCTCAGTTTGGAAATTCATCTGTGCCATCCAACTTGCTTGGATCTTTAAAGTGAAGCTGACATCTTCAGGTTATGTTTCCTATTTATACCAAGATTTATTTGTGTTATAAAACCTTTGCATTTTAAAAGGAGTGTTCATATTATTTGTTCACTATTTCCTCTTTTGTTTTCCTTATACTGAAAGGAAGTAAGAAAAATGATGATGGAAAATGTTTCTTGGTTTTTGAGCCAAGAAGTAAATTTCTGTGAGGCCAGCTCTGAGTGTGCTGCAGTAATTCCAGCTGTTCTGCAAGCTTTTCTCCATTTCCTTACTGTAAAGGGACACAGTCAGTAAAACAGGAGGAGAGTGTCTGGTGTATGTGACTTTTAATACAGGGTTCTTTTAGTCCTGTTGAGTAGTTCTAGACTTCTATAGTTAAGAGCATGTATACTAGTTAATGATTGTACATTCTTGGGATCTATTTTGCTAAAGATAGAAGAAATATTTCTTTTTCCCTCTGTTTTTTTCCAGTTAGCAAAAATTGATCAGACTCAGTATGTCAACTTACTGATACAGGCTTCAAATTTGAGATTTTTATCAGTAGTCCTTGATAGCCTGGAACATGACCTTTTACCCATGGCTGCCATAATTTCCATCTTATCTTTCCTCAGTGGGGTTTCTTGAATTACATTTGTTTCATTCTACAACATTTTTTTTCCTTGTACTTAATCAGAATTGGTTTTCTTCTGAGCTAAAATAGCTCTCTCCTGACTTATCTTTTGTGTTGAGATAAACTAGGATGAGATATCATTATATTAGCAATGTTATAACCCATGCCAGACCTTCTACCTGGATCCTGCTGCTTGTTTGTCATCTATTGGAAGGTGTTGCATTCTGGGAAAATCATTATGTTGCTTTTAATTGTAAGTAGACAACTTAATCACTGTTAGAAGATAATGAGGTCTAATGTATATTAATGCTTTCTTTATCTTGGGACTTCAGGAGATCCCAAATTCAAGCAATAACTTGCACATGTATAATCTAGGATCCACAGCAGCTTTGCTATGCTAAGGTGTCACCTCCCTAAGCTTCTGTCACTTCATTTTAATCATGCTTGTTCTGCTCACTGACACCATACCTGATTAGTGTCTCTTAGGATGATACAGGATCCCTTTGTAAACACCAGAAGTTTCATACACTCAAACCTTAAAGGAGGTTTGTGAATTTAAGTCTGGCTTTATTCTGACTGTGGTCACACCACATTCAGTGACCTAGGAGTATATGCAGAATGGGTTCTCATCAGCTTGCCAAGAAGTACTTTGTGCTTAGTAGGTTCAGCATGAACCTTTTCCATCAGAGAATATGTCAGATTTAGAGGGTGTTAATTTCTGGAAGGATTCTATACTCATTCTTAGGAAAATTCATTAAGGAGGAATCGCAATTGAAGGTGAGCTTTAATAGGAGGGTCAGGAATTAAAAGTTATGGCTGGTTTTCTTCAGTTTTTTTTTTTTTTCTTTAATTACACATATGTATTGACAGGATAAAGGAATGATTATTCCGTGAAGGTGCTAATTTGAAGTGATTGCTTCCCTATTCTACAGGGTTACCAGTTATCTGGGGAAGTACATTATCACAGACACACATTTTCAGTCATTTCCCATTCTGTTTGATTGCACTATAAATCTGGGAGTTTTTAGGCTAAATGGTTTTTCAACTTTCCTTAAATCCCTGACTACAAATCAATTAATTGGTGATCACTCAGTGATACTATGAATAAATAGTTTCAAATGTTTCAAAACTAGGGCTGCAAACTCCTTTGAACCAAAGCTTGTTTTTTTTGTGGGTTTTTTTGTATATCATTGTATTCAGACTCTTGTCTTCTCTACTAAGAAGAGTCTGTTATGTCTTAAGAGTGATAAAATACAGTTTCTCAGGAACTTGCCTAATGAAACTTAAATAAAAGGAACTAAGTATCCCAGTTTCTCCTAATGAAATGAAGCTTTGACTTAAATGTAGTTTATAAACTTCCAAGTATTTTTGTTTAAGTATACAGAATTATTACATACATCATGCATATGTATGATTTCTTTGCTATAAACAAATTCTAATCCTGGAGCACTAAAACCCAATTCTGCTGCAATTTGGTAGTTTTAATGAATATAACCAAGGAGAATCTAAAACTCTGCTTTGAGTGAATTAAACAAATAAAACCATTACATTTAAAACATATTTTTATAAGGGGCAAAAATTATATATATATATGCACAGTGTATCAAGTATAAGCAAAAATAACTTACTTGATTTTTGGTGTAGCTAAAGTTATGAACAAAGTATCAAATAGCCTTAAAAGTGTTGGGCAGGGGCGGGAAGGATAAGGAGAGTAATTAAATTTTTCATTTTTTCCCCCCTCCCCTCACTCCTCTCCCTCAGGATGCTTTAACACCTGAAGACAAATGTTTCATCAGAAGCACTAATGGCTGTTGGCATGCCTTGGATAAGGTGGTGACTGCTGGATGTCATTTGTTCCTGTTCACTGTGGAGAGACAAAATTGACTCCACTTGGAGTTGAGAGCAAAAGCAGAACAGACCTCTCAAGATGACTGATCCTATGATGGATTTTTTTGATGATGCCAATCTTTTTAGTGAGACATTGGAAGGTTTGTCAGATGATGCCTTTGTTCAACCTGGACCTGTTTCACTTGTTGATGAATTGAATTTGGGTGCAGAATTTGAACCTTTGCACATAGACTCACTGAACCATGTGCAAGATGCTCAAAATCAACAAAAGATGAGTGAGTTTGATCAGCTGAATCAGTATGATTCACTGAAGCTTCACTCAGTAAATCAGTCTTTTAATAGCTCAGCTGACAATGTCTTATCACCACACTCTCAGTTCAATTGTTCACCAGTTCATCCGCAAAACCAGTCCAATGGGATGTTTCCAGATGTGGCTGATGGTAGTCCTATGTGGGGTCATCAAACTGCCACAACTGTTTCAAATCAAAATGGGTCCCCTTTTCACCAAGGACATTCTCAGTCTATGCAGCAAAACAAAAGCTTTGTAGCACACCATGACTTTGCCTTATTTCAGGCTAATGAACCACAGCATCAGTGTGCCTCGCTACGGCCACAGCAGAGCAGGAACAACACGGGGCAGGATGCTCTGAGTCAGCCAAAAGACTTCATGGAAGTTAACGTGTCTACTTCCCTCAGAGTCAGTGTTAACCACCCACCTTCAGTTTCTAACCCATCGACTTCACAGCAGCCTCTGTCTGTTCAACAGTTTTCTCAAACTGCAAGTACTTCAATACATTTTTGTGGGAATCAAGAAGGAAATTTTGATGGACAGTCCCCAACTATTACTCCATGTTCTGTCAGTAGCAGTCAGCAATTTTCATCTCCGTATTCCTACTCGAATAATCACATTTCTCCTACCAGCCTCCTTCAGCCTACAACAGGTCTTTCTACTAGCCAGCAGACACACTCTATCTCTGACTTCACTGGAAGCGATGCCTTTACATCTCAAACAGGGACCAAGCAAGAAACAACCGAGCACATGTTGAATCCTAACACAGCCTTGAATTCAAGTACTTTTCAAATGTTGCATTCTGCGCATCCTCAGGGCAACTTTAGTAGTTCGAAACTCTCTCCTGTGAATATTAATTTTCCAGCTTCTACTGGTTCTGCTTCTCAGATAAGCCATTTCACCGACTCTATTGAAAGCAATGGTTTTACATCTTTAGATGACAACTTACTTCATCAAGTGGAGACTCACAATGAACCATTCACAGGACTTGACCCAGATGACCTCTTGCAGGAAGACCTTCTGCCACAGTTCGATGACTCTGCGTTTGTTCAGGATAGCACAAGCCATGTTTTAGAGCATGACCTAGAACACCACATAACCCCACAGCAAGTGACATCGTCATCCGAACTCGTTCGGCCACCGTCTCAAACTCAGATCCATCCTTGGCATTCTTCAGTTTCTAATCAGCACCTGCAAGGCAGAAGTCGTGCAACCTTACAAGGACAGGTATGTAGGGACTTCGGGAGTGGGGATTTCAATCATCTGATTTGGTTGATGGGGTGAAATGAATAATAGTGACTGGTGCTTGAGTCAAAGCATGATAACTGAAGTCTCTGAGTTGTTATTTGACCCTGAAGAAGTGTAGTTTAGGAGGAAGAAACCTAACCAGTTGATGCAGACATTGCTTTCTCCTGTTGTTTTCCTATCACTGCAGAAAGCAAGACTACATGATCTTATTCAGATAAAATGGTGTTGCTCCTTCTGCTGCTTGTACTTGTGAAGTACAACAGAGAAAATTTACTGGTTTATGATTGTGATGTGAATATAATGGCTTATTGTCTTGAAAATTAGAGAAACATGTTTTTAAGACCTTTGGTAAGGTTTGTATGGCTGATTTCCTGCAAGAATTGTGGTGGTTATGTTGTTGTTCTGTCCTTTGCTTTGTGTCTTTGTGCTCATGCTCATTGCCTAAAAATACATACTTATTTTTCTTGATTTTCATGTGTTCAGTTATAATAGAAAACATATAAAATGCTATGTCTATGTTGGATTTTGTTACTTTTGGCTAAATCAAAAAATTCAACAGTTGTTTTAGTATAATGTGACCATCTACTGCAAGTATTTGAGTCCTCCACGAGGAGGGCAAGATAACATAAAAATCGTTTGCTATTTTTCAATCTGTGCATTTCAAAACAGATGCAACTCTGATATCAAACAGAATTTACAGGAGACAGGTTTAAAGAGGTTTTAGTAACTGTTACTTCTGTATTCTTGCTACCAATACCTGAGAATATAGAATGTTGTCTTTCTGAAAAAAAAAAAAAAAATGGGGAAGGCCCAAGGACCTTAACTACTGACTTGTGCTTCCCTTAGTTTGTAGGACACAGGCCTGTGAAGGAGACAATGTAGCAGTTTTCCTTCCCCCCCATTAATTTTAGATCATTACCGTAGAGATAAGGGCTTAACACGCTTAATCTTTGGTCTTGGTTCAGTAGATTGCTTCTCCATTACAACTTCTGCTTATGTTTATGGAGCGTGTAATTGTCAATTCCTACCAGTGAAACTTTTTCTGTAAACTGTGGTGTGATGTTAATGGAACACAGGTATCCAGCAGTGCGGTTCAGATGAGCTTGATTAACTGAATGATGCAGGAGATGCAATCTGTTGGTTTTGATAAACATTTCCTTTCTCCTTCCCTGCCTAAAAAAACAAAAGAGGGTGCACCCAAGTAGCACCCTCTTGTCAGGGATCCCTGTAAGCTGAAGACAGAGGCTCCAGCAGCTCACAGGGGAAGGGGATCCTGTGGCACTGTGTGTGTGCAGTCCTCAGTCCTGCCCTGGGAGCAGTGCCCCATTCCCTGCCAGGGGCTGGGAACAGGGGTGTGGGGGCTCTTGGCCTCCCTGAGCATACTTGGGGTGAAGGGTGAAGAGGAAATGGATTCCAGGAAAAGTGGGGCTGGTGAGAAACTCAGGGATTAGTATCATTTTTGAGGAGCATGTGGGATATAAGCCAGGCAATGAAAAGCGGGTCTAATACAACTTTCTAGTGCTGTGACTTTTGTGTTGTATTTGTCAGAACCTTTCCAGACTTGCTTCGATCTCACTGACATCAGTTTTAGCATTTTGCTTTGGATCAAGGAATAGAGGGAAAGTTCTGAGATCTGTGGAGAGCCTTTTAAGTTTAGGGGTTTGGTTTTGTTTTTATCATGGTGTGAAAACAAAGCAACTTTGCAGTATTCGAAATTTTAATGTTTTTCCTCTTTGAAATGAAACAGCCAGAAACCAGATAGTTATAAAACTGCTTGGTTTGGTTTTTATTATTTTGGGGTATGCAATAAATTGTATAAATTGGATTCTGACCTTGAGTTTATCTGGTCAGACAGATGTTTAATGTCTCCTTCAAAGACTGGTTGTGAACTGGTAGCTGTCAAACTGTTGAGGAATGTACAGAAGCAAACAATGTAGAAGCCTTTTTAAATCAGTGGAGTATGTAGTATGAATAGAAATGGAAAAGTATGGCAATTACTGAAGTGTTTCAGATCTGTCCTTTGACTGACTACAATTCTGAGAAGGGCTTTGGTTGTAGCTCTCACTTCTATTCTTTGATCTCTTTTTAGAATTTCAAGTTCAATATGAGTTAGTTCTGTTAGAGCTTTTTACAAATGTGTGCAGTTTAACCAGGAAGGAAAAAGATGGGGTAAAGAGAGAAGGAATTTTGATCTTCCTAAAACTGGTTGGCTTTAGGTAAGAGTCAGTTGGAAAGGGATTTTGACAAGTTTCCTATGTAGCACTTAAGTGAACTTTTAGTTTTTTAACAAGACAGTATTTCACACTGACTTTAATTCATATTGAGGAAACAATTACTAGTGAATTTAGTTGGGTTTTTTTTCAACACTTTCAGTTTGATAATAGTTGATGTTTTCTCAGAAAGAATAACTTTATTTTATGAAATAGTTAATGAACTGTAGGTATTGGAACAGACCCAATATTAGACAACCAAAGATCTTTAACTGTAGTTAGACTGAGGTTATTTAAATTAACGAAGAACATTAAATACTTGTTTCAGTATTTGAGAGCAAGCATACTCATAACATTTTTACTTGTATGGTTATTCTTTTGATGAAATTAAAAATTAATATAATCTGTTTGGTATAATAATACTGCAGAATTAAAAAGACTGTCTTATAGTGCTAATATGCTTTCTGCTGTAATTAGATCAGAATTGTAAATAAATTGCACCCTTAATTTTACATCATGCATTTTTCATCAGAGTTCATTTGAGAACAGAAAGTAAAGTGGAGAAATGCTGAAGACTCCTGTAGACTTAGCATTGGCTAATACAAGACTTCTGTTCTTTTAACTCCACTTAAAACTGGTTTGAGTTTGCTATGGCTAAATAATCTATTTGTTTCTCAGAAGGATAAAAAAGGCTGCAACATTGTTTTAAATCTTTAGAAGAAAAAGGAAGTTGAAAAGATAATGTGAAGTATAAACTGTTGGAAAAATAATGTGAAGTATAAACTTTTGGAAAGATAATCTCAAGTATAAACTGTCCTTAGAAGATTACAGCTGTCTTGCTGTGTATGTAATGTCTTCTGGCTGCACACATGAAAGCAGAGGAATTGAGATTAAAAATAATACCAAAATTAAAAATATACTGATGAAAAATAATATTTCATTAATAATATGAAGTGCTATAGGATGAGGTGATAGTCTTAATTCTTAAATTATGTAATTAATTGTTTTCCTTTTTGTGACTAAAAGTTTGGCACCTTACTTGGCAATTCAGTGTATTCAGGAATTTATGTAAAGGACTGACTTGAAACATGCAAGTGCTCTTATGCCTGCAAGCCTGAGCTGTCCTACCACTCATTTTATATTAATAGAGGACACTTATTTTTTTGAAAGAATTTATCTTGCCCTTGTTGAAAGTTTGGCAAAGTCTGGAACTCATAGATGATTGCTCAGGTGGTGTTGTACCCCAGGACATCTGTATATATCAGAGTGGTATAACCTCATATATGAGGTTATCATCAGAGAGGGAATTAACTCTCACCACATCCAGATCCACATCCAGATTTATGTGCTACTGAGATGTCCTGAAGTGTCACAGGCTGTTCATGTCTGACTGTGCTATCAGATGGCACTTTTAAAACAATTCTTAAATTCCTTGTAGACATGTATCCCTTGGATTACTCCACTTGTAAAACTCTTACCTTGCTATTGGTTGCTGTTCTACTTGTATATACAGTCAGGGACTGTGAAGTTTTTATGAGAGATACGCATAGTAAGTAGTGATGTGCTTTCTTGGCTAATTGTGAGATCTAAGTCCAAATGTATCAAAATAAAGGATATAGAACTTGGGTGTATATATATACACTATATTGTACAGATATAATATAGTATTAGAGTGTGTTTCTGATATTCTGTATGGTTCAATTTTAAGTAAGCCTGTAACAAGGAATATATTAAATTAAGGGATTGATCATACTACACAGAACTTCTTTGTAGTAGAGACTGGCTATTTTGCATAGTAAGTTTATGGGTTATGGCTCCTAAATGTTGGTACAGTACAAGATTTTAAAATTACGGTGCTGCTATGTGCATGTGGCTTGGGAAGCGGTGTAATATTTAGTGAGACTGAGCATAACAAAATACACATCTGAAAATCTGTTTGAGTTTGCATCATCTTGCATCTTTGCATCTAGTCAAAAGTTTGGACTTGATGATTTTGGGAGTCTTTTCCAGCCTTAATGATTCTATGATTGGAAATCTAAATGTTTGTTCCAGTAAGCATTTGGGTTCATTACAAATCATATCTTGTAATTTTGATATGTAAAAAACCTCCATACCCTTAACATGGATTATTCTTCCTAAAGTGCTGAATAGTGCTGGTATAACTCCCACTAAGCATATCCAATGTTCTTATATTTTTCCTTTAATTAGGGTCAATTTTATGGGTGACATCATATTAACAAATGTAAATCTTTGCCTGAAGTTTCTTTCTAAGTATTTCTACAAGTTGTATGCACTGGATTTAAATTTTTGTGCCTCAGGAACATTTTTACCTTCCTCATAGGAACATAAATCCTGTACCACAGTGAGGCAGCAGAATTCCCAGCATCTACTAAGTTTATCATCCATGCTGAAGTATTGAAAACAATCCTTTCACTGATAACCTTTATGCAATATTTTGCAGCGTTTTTTTGCTTTATTTCTGTGATTTGAGAAAATCCTGCACAAACAGGTAGGATTGACCATGGCAAAGCTGTGTCAAATGCCCAGAGTTAATGAGAAGAGTAGGGCAGCATCTCTGAGCCCAAGTAGTGCAGCTCCTGGAATGAAGTTCTAAATTACAGCTGTATATAATATAATGTTTTCATTATTAATCTATGGCTTTTTGCCAATAACCTATTAATCATGTAAAGAGCAGTGTTTTGATAGCTTTATTTATAGTTGAATATGTATGAA